GAACCTCAATGCAGTGACCGTGGGCAGAGCAGCTCCAGAAGGGCCTCTTTCCTCAGGCCTCCCCTGTTCTCTCCTGTGCAGATCCAGTACATGCCTGTGTCATCTGAGCAGCAGCTCGTCACCCAGGCACAGCTGGAAGCAGCAGCACACTCAGCTGTCTCAGGTAGGAGCAGGGCCCTGGGCCGAAGGGGACAGTCCTCCTAGGGTTTGGAGTGCCGGTCCTGCCAGCAGGGGTGGTTGGGGCTGGCAGGGAGCTGTGCAGCTCCCTGGGCAGAAGGGCTGGGAAGGCAAGCCGGGATTGCTGTTGTGTTGCCAAACCGTGGTGTCCAAGGGCGGATCTTTCCTGATCCCAGCCTGTCAGTTCTGGAACAGGGTTAACCAGAGCTGGGCTCCACAGAGCATGAGCCCCACAGGAGTGAGGTGGCCGTGTGTCCCTTCCCTGGGAGCAGGTGGGGAACACGGAGCGGGGTCCCTGTGAGGCGGCGCTGATCCCCCTTTCCCTGCAGCAGTGGCAGATGCAGCGATGGCCCAGGCCCAGGGTGTCTTCAGCACTGAGGCAGCGGCCGAGCAGATCCATCAGCTGCAGCCGGGCATCCACTACGACGTGATCGCGCTGGCGGAGTAGCACCGGGCAGGGCTGGGCACCGCGCTGGGCAGGCGGCCACGCCGGCAGCGGCCCCAGCCAGCAGTTGCCTTACTGAGTCAGGGCTGCGAGGGACACGCCTGAGCTGGAGCGACACGGACACGCTGCTGCTCAGCCCCGTGCCAGTGGGGTCCTGTGCATCCCCCAGGGACTGCTCAGCAGCCGCAGGGGCAGCCCGTGTGTGGACGGTCTCTTTGCCTGTTGCACTTGATGGTCTGAAATCCCTTCTCCTGAACTGTCTGTGTGAGCAGCCACGGATCGGTGTCTGCCCAGCACATGAGGGTCCTGGGGGAGCCGTGGGGCCGGGCACAGCTGTGTGGTGTGTGATGTGAGAGGTGTGTGCAGCCACAGCCACGTGCTCCCCGCAGCCATGGGGCCTGTGGTCCTGCTGTGCCAGCATCCGGCCCTCCCGTGGCATCTCCGGCCTGCAGGCAGGCAGCAGCAGGGCTCTGGACTGGAGAAACCTGAGGAGGAGGAGGCAGAGGTGGAAGATGCTCTATTTTTCTTCTGAAGAGGGGATGGACTCTGGCATTGGTCAGTCGGTGGTTGTGGGAGGGGTTCAGCTGTGACATTCTCAAGCTTTGACTATGCTTACGAATAAAAAGGGATGGAGACCTGGGTGTGTGCCTGCCTGGGGGTCCAGGCTCCAGCCAGCAGGGACAGGACAGCCCAGCCTCCCCAGCACATCCCCTGGGGATGCAGCACAGGGGTCCCAGAGCCCAGCGCTGCGCCGGGCCGTCCCTGCTGGCAGACACTCCGGGCTATCAGCTGCCTCTCGCCCGAGTGACCTTGACTCCTGGGAAGTGAGCCGGGCAGCTGGGACAGCGGTGAGCTTGGGGCTGGAGTCATGAAATTAATCGAGTGGTAAACAGCCTAAATCCCGTGTAACTCTGTCCCGAGCCCCACAGCGCCCTCCTGAGCGGCTTGTCTGGGCGTATTTACATGCGATTATAACAGCTAATCGCGGAGTTTTAGTTCTCTGCTCCTGCATTAAACTGATTATCCACGGAGGGGGAAAAAGGCCGGGAACCACCCAGCCTCGGGGAGAGCCTCTGTGAGGCCCAAGCCCCACAGTTCTGGGACCAGGGCAGTGCCATCCCCAGGCACTGTGATGTGCTCTCCCTGTCCTACTTAGGTAGGGGTGGGAGGTGTGGGCCGGACCCCCTGAGCGCCAGGGCGGTGAGGTGTGTGTGGCCCCCCGTGGTGACCAGCCCTGGTTGTGGCTGTGGCTCTGTCCCAGCTGTGGCTCCATCCCTCTGCCTTCACACCAGCCTTGTCCATGCCCAGTGGTGCTGGTGCGTGGCTGTGCCTGCCCGGCCGTGGCTCGGTCAGTGTCCAGCTGTGTGTGCCGGCGACTGGCTGTGGCCCTCCCTCTCCAGCTGTGCTGTGCAGGGTTCAGGGTGTGCCGCAGCAATCCACAGGCGCTTTCCTAGATTACAGCCCCATTATCTAATCAAGTGGATCTGCAGCACTGATTAGGGCAGGAGGAGTCCCGTGGGGACAAGGTTATGGGGCCACTGCAGGGCCGTGGCCAGGGCAGGTCCCAGCCAGCCACCAGTGTTCAGTTGTCCTGTGGCTTCCACACCTGGGGCTGCTCAAGGGCACAAGAGCAGGCACGGTGGGATGGATGGGACCAGAGCTCCAGCTGACGCATATTGGGAGCTCCAGGTGCTGCTGGGGCTCTGACCATGGGGGCACTGCAGGGGCTTGGGTCCCCTTGGCACTGGCCCCTCAGCCTCAGGACCTTCTGCTGTTGCTGGGGCCTGCAGGGAGCCGGGGATGCGTCCAGGCTCATTAGCACCGGTGACCTTCTCCTTCCCGTCCTGGCCAGCGCTAAGCGGGTTTGTTACATATTTAATATCCTGAGAGCGTTATTAGTCGGTATTTAATGACGGATACAACCTGTGGGATAATCCCAGTCTTAGCGGGGAGGCGCGGCGGCAGGAGCGGGCGGCTCGGGGGGTCGTGGGCTCTGGGGGCCCCTCTCACAGCTGCCCACCACTGCCCTGGCCACCACTGCCCTGCCCACCCGCTGCCCCCGCTGCACCAGCCACAGGGGCCCCCCCCCCTCGGTGCCTGCAGGGCCCCCCAGCCGTCCTTGGGGCTGCAAGACCCTTCCCCTTCACTGCTCTGCTGCCGGGAATCCAGCGGCAGGCGTGGCAGTGCTGGGGTTTGGGTGAGGACCCAGCCAAGCCACAGGAGGAGCAGGACAGGGCAACATGGGGGGTTGTTCTCCCACCAGGCATGAGTCCACCTGGCCCTCCAACCCAGCCCACCACAGCATGGGGGTCTCTGCCAGCCCCAGGACCAGGTCAGGGCTGGGGTCATGGGCAGGGCTGATGCTCTTGGCACTGCAGTAAACCCCCAGGTGTGTTGTGTCCCTGTGGCTGTGGAGCTCATGTGGATCCTGAGCACCAGCCCCACTGCACCCCATCCATGGGGGCTGTGTAAGTTGTGCAGAACTGGGGGGCTGGGAACAGGGTCCTGGCCAGGGGCAGGCAGACAAGGAGGGCAGTCCCTGCCAGTCCCTGCCCAACAGTAGCCGGGGCGGGTACTGGGTGCCCCAGATCCTGCTGCTGCTCTCGTGGGTGCTAATACCCCCTAATCAGCTGTCAGTCACTGCAGACCCCAGCAGCTATAAAACACCCAGGAGCAGCTCCCCAGCTCCTCTCCTGCAGCATGGCAGCACCTCGGAGCAAGAGGAGCCCAGGACAAGAGCTGGGGAGCTGCGGGGGGCCTTGGGGGACCCTGCGGGGACCCCCTCCAGCCCTACTGCCCTGTCCCTACCCCTGCCCTTGCCCCATGCTGGCTGGGTACAGCCTCCTGCCACCCCCCGTGAGTCTCCTGACACCCCTGGTAAGTACAGGGCTGCAGATCCGGGGGGGTGGGACATGGGACCCTCCCAGGACTGAGATGGGGCTGTGTGGGGTGGTTGGGGTGGGGGCTGGGGACCTGCTGTCCCGAGTCCCCTGAGCCTCCCCAGCATTCCCCTGCCCCCCCCCCACACCCCCTCCTGCACCCCGACACATCGGGATCCTCATGGGAAAGGACAAGGACAGGAGGGATACAGCTCTGCTCCCTCCCACAGTGATGTAGGAGCCCCTACATCCCTCACCCCCTCTCCTCTGGCCGTGTTACCCCCCCACCCCATCCCACCCTGACACCCCTCTGCCCCTCCAGGTCTCCCCACCCTACGAGGTGCCGCTGGGGCTTCCCACAGAGCCAGGCCGGGCGAAGGCGGCGGCAGCGCGGGAGAGCACCGGGGCACTGAAGGCCTGGCTGGCTCGGCACCCCAGGAACCCCTACCCCAGCAAGGGGGAGAAGGTGATGCTGGCTGTGGTCAGCCGGATGAGCCTCACCCAGGTCTCCACCTGGTTCGCCAACGCCCGCCGGCGCCTCAAGAAGGAGAGCAAGGCGGGCTGGGCCGCGCGCGGCGCCTCGGACGGCGAGGACAGCGAGGGCGAGGGGGGCCCACCAGCTACCGAACCCATTCCCAGCTCCAGCCCCCTGCAGGATGGGTGTGGGGGCAGCCCCGAAGTAGGGCCAAGCCCTGGGCAGGGCAAGCAGCCCCAGAAACCCAAGATCTGGAGTGTGGAGGCGATGCTGGCATCTCCCCCCGACAAGGACGGGTGCCCGCCGGGGGTGCCAGTGGTGCTGGAGCAGGCGTAGGGCTGGGGTGGTCATGTCCTGTCCCCAAGGGCATGGCAGGACAGACGGACATGAGACCTGGCAGCTGCCCAGCCAAGAAGAGTTAGAGATGTGGACAGGGAGGGACACACGGTGTTAATAAATGAGACTGTCTTGGGCCTCCTGGTGTTGCCTGTCTGGTATGGGAGCTGCTGGGGGTACTGGGAGGGATGTGGGGTGTTGGTGGGGATGCTGGTAGAGATGCAGATGTACCAGCAGGGATGTGGTGAAATTCAGTGCCAATGGTGCTGCAAGCGGTCCCTGGGGGGCAGGGCAGATCCAAGGCAGAGAGCAAAAATAGACTTTTTTCTTCTCGATAAAGTAATAAAATGGTTAGTGGTGTTAAATTAATCCTTACAAAACAAAACCCAAGGAGGTTAAATAAAGCCCAGAGGCTCCGCATAAGAACCACAATGACTACAAAACAGCTGCAAAGACGTCTTTACACACCAAAGAAACTCCTCTCCTCCGCTCCTTCCCTCTCCAGGACACAGTGCCGGCAAACACGGGACTCACACATGGGAAAAAAACACGGATGCGATGGGAGCAGCCCCGCCAGGAGCGTGGGCGCCACGGACAGAACTATTTACACTATGGACACGGAGCCGTGCTGGGGCCGCTCCGGCCGCAGGAGCCCCCGGGCTCTGCCCGTCCCTAGCGCTCAGCCCCCAGCACTCACCCTGCCTCAGCTGAGATCAGTCTCTCGGCTGCTGCTCTGCTCTCAGCCCAGCTCCTGCCCTTTGTCCGCTGTGGAGGAGGAGGATGAGGAGCTGAGGGTCCAGCCCAGCCACTTGTAGGTTGAAATGAGCTCCTGCAGCCACTCAGGTGTGGGCTCCCACATGGAAATTCCAGTGCTGTTCTGCACAGGAAGGCACCAGGCACTGAGCTTCTCCCCATGGTCCAGGCAGAGCATGCTGTGGATCAGGGAACACCTGTACCCCGAGGGAAGACACTCCAAGGAACCCAAACCCTCCTCAACACAGGTACAGGGGTTGGCCTGGCAGGGTCAGGAGTGGGGGAACCCAAAGACCTCCAGGCATAGGCACTGGCAGAGGCTGTAGACAATGCAGAGTAGGAGGGTGGAGGGCACGAGGCTGACCAGGATGATGCCCAGGCTGTGGTGCTCAATGAGCAGGAGGTAGATGCCGAAGGGCAGGGAGCTGAAGTAAAGGAGGCAGAGGACGCCCAGGATGAAGCGGGGGACGGCTCGCCACCCCCAGGAGCGGCACTTCTGCCCAGGGCTGTGGCAGGGCAGTGCACCCAGGCTGGTGGAGCGGTACAGCCGCACCACCTCCAGCCTGCCCAGGCTCTCCGGCGGGGTCACGTCCTCCGGCACCTCCAGGATGGTGACAACCAGGCAGTCGGGGCTGGGGGCGGGCTCCAGCACGCCAGGGCAAAGGAGGACCTCAGGGGATCGGGGGGGACCTCGCTTCTTGGCCCGTTCGCGGCCTGTCAGCAGCGCCAGGGCCTCACCATCATCCTGCAGCTGCTGCACGTCCCCGCCGGGCACCGGGCTGTGCTGGCGGCAGAAGGGACAGCGAAGCTGGGGGGTTGATGCGTCCCCCGGAGACACCATCCTGCGCAGGCAGCGGGTGCAGACGCGATGGCCACAGTGGAGCAGTTTGGGCCTGCGGGTGCGGGCGTCGAAGCGGCTGTAGCAGATCTGGCACTCCAGCTCGGGGGATGTGGGTGCCACCGGCGGGGACCCCGGCTCGCTGCCTGGCTGGGCCATGGCTCCTGGAGGGGTGCTGGGGGCTGCCTGGGCTGCGGGAAGATGTCAGCCAGGGCTGGAGGCAGGTCCTGGGCCTGATGGCTCCCACGGGTGGGTTCCCAGCCCCACTGCACCCCACGGTCAGTGTCCTGGTGGGCCCCATGAGCTCGGTGGGGGAGCAGGGCTGGGGGAGAGGGGCCCTCCCTGGGCCAGACTCCAATCCCCAGTCAATGCCACTGCTGCTGGCACTCGCCCTCATCCCAGTCCCCTTTTCTGGGGGGCACATCGCTCCCAGGGAGGGCACTGGCATGGAGGGGTAGCTCCCGAGTGCATCCGTGGCCCTCACGGCGCGTGCCGGTCCCCTGGGTCCCCGGGGCAAGGACGGCTCCGGACACCCGCTCTGCCGGCGGCGAGGACATCCCCATCCCGCACCCCACTCCCTCTCCCGGGGCGAGCAGCTCCCGGTCCGCACTCCCCGCCCCCGCTCCCGGCCCGCACCGCATCCCCTTCCCGTACCTGCTCTCCCCGCCGCGGCTCCCGGTGGGGACACAGCGCCGGTCCCGGCGGGCTCGGTGGTGCCGGTGGGCTCCGCGGCGGCGGGCTCAGACCCGGCAGCCCCATGGGGGGAGGCGCGGGGCGCTGCCCGCCGCGCTGCGGGGGCGAGCGCGGCGCAGGGGCCGCCGGCAGCGCCGCGGCGTTGGCCCGGTAACGGGGAGCGGCGAACGGGGTGGGGGATCGGATGGGCCGGGCCGGGGCCCCGCGGAGCCGCCTCGGGCAGAACCGGGCCCCGCCGGGCCGCGGGAGGACAACGCAGGGGTCTATGCAGTGGTCGGTGCGGGGTTTAGTGCGGGATAGGTGCAGTTCCCTGCGTGCCGCGGTCCCCTCTTTCTGATCAGCCCTGAGGATGCTCCTTCCCGGCCTGAGCACTGCGGCAGCGGCCCCTGGGGTCCGGCACTCCCTGGGAGTCCAGTCGGGGGCACTCGGGGGACGCAGCACTTGACAAGGTCGTGCTGGGCACAGCCGAGCTCCGGGCACATCCCGCTCTGCAGGTTGTGTCTCCCCAGCCCCGTCAGATCCACCCCAGGCTGCTGTGCTGCCCTTACAGGAGGTTTCCAGCAGCCCCGGGGGACAGCAGCACTCAGGGACCCCCCGCACCTCCATCCCTCCTGCCAGGCCGGACAGCAGCAGCAGCAACAACCACGGGGGCAGCGTTAATGAGGGCCTTTCAGTTCAATCATCCAGGTTTGGCACAGTCTGAGAGCTTTTAGGCCAGGGGTTGAGCTCCTGGTGTGCCTTGTTCCCCCAGCCCTGCCCGTACTCCCCACCACTCCCAACTGCCCACCTCAGCTGCCCCTTGGACAGCTTAGCACGGCTACCTGCCCTTGAAACTCCCAGTGTCAAGCTGACACACCCCTCTGACTGTCTCCTGCTCTGTTTGAATAAAGGACACGTTCTAGAAGCAGCCATGCCACCGGGCTGCTGACCACTGAGGTCGCTTACACCTCCCCTGTGAGACCACGGCCACTGGATCCTTACCCAGGTTAACAGTCCCTCATGTGAGGGAGCAGCAAAGGCCTCCAAGTGGACTGACTGACCAAGGGGTGGGTTAGACACACTCCCAGAATCAGCACGTCTCTGCTCACCTGCACCTCGGGAACATCCAGTCTTGGCTCAAAACAATGAATAAAAGGGAAAAAAAGGCTTCACAAACTGCCACTTCTGCAGCCAGCGTTCCCAACTGTCTCGAGCATCCTTTAAGTACATCAAAGCCCTCCTCACCTCTGTTGAAGGTATCTCTGGAGAGCTGCAGAGTCCCTGGGAGTAGGCAGTGTGTGGGCAATTCCTGCCCCTCCAGAGAGGCACTGGCACTGCTATGGTACCAGCACCAGCACTGCTGTGGCACCTCACAAGAGTTTGGCTGTGCTGCCCCGAGGGGTCCAAGGACAGTCCAGTTGACTGCGCTTCTCTGAGGGGAGAGCACCAAAACCACACCAGAGTGGCCAAGAGCGGGGTGGTCAAGCTGCTTCAGGGGCTCATACTGGTCTTTAGGAAACAAAACTCACCAGATCACAGCTGTACAGAACAGGGCAGATGCCAGATGGTCCTGAAAAAAACAAAATCCAATGTTTTTCTACCTTCCACCCAGGCAGAGGTTGGACAGGGGACGAACACGGACCCTTGATGCCAAAGAAAAGGGATGGACACAGGTGGAGCTGTATGCTGGTTTTAATGTTCCTAAGAACTAGGAAACAGAAATCAAAAATAGACTTTGCTCTTCTTGATAAAAGTAATAAAATGGTTAGCGGTGTTAAATTAATCCTTACAAAACAAAACCCAAGGAGGTTAAATAAAGCCCAGAGGCTCCGCATAAAAACCACAATGACTACAAAACAGCTGCAAAGACGTCTTTACACACCAAAGAAACTCCTCTCCTCCGCTCCTTCCCTCTCCAGGACACAGTGTCGGCAAACACGGGACTCACACATGGGAAAAAAACACGGATGCGATGGGAGCAGCCCCGCCAGGAGCGTGGGCGCCACGGACAGAACTATTTACACTATGGACACGGAGCCGTGCTGGGGCCGGTCTGGCCGCAGGAGCCCCCGGGCTCTGCCCGTCCCTCTCCTGCCGGGGCCCCTCCGGCCGCGGCGCTCAGCGCCCAGCACTTGCGCTTGCCATCCGTCCCTCCATCTGTCCCACCGTCCTTCCGCCCAGCTCTGGCTGCCCCTTCCCTCGGCGCTCCGGCATCGCGGGGCTGCCGGTTCCTCCTGCCGCGCCGCACTGGGCTCCCCTGCCCCCAGCGAGGGCCGCGGCTGAGCCTCCTCTCCCACGGGCGGCCGGGCGTTCCCGGCTCCTGGGGGCCGGCGTGCAGTTCGCAGAGGAGAGCAGGTGCCGGGGAGCTGCTGTGCAGGAGTCCCGGGCCGGTGCTGCACACTCAGCAGTCTCTGCTGCCCCGGCCAGCCCCGGGGCCGCCGGCACCTCCCCTGCTGCCTCGCACCTCTCCTTAGTTGGGATTAGTCTCTCGGCTGCTGCTCTGCTCTCGGCCCAGCTCCCGCTCTTTGTCCGCTGTGGAGGAGGACGAGGAGGAGGAGGACGAGGAGGAGGAAGACGAGGAGCTGAGGGTCCGGCCCGAATGCTTGTAGGCTGCAACGAGCTCCTGCAGCCGCTCCGGCGTGGGCTCCCACTTGGCAAAGCCGGCGCTGTTCTGCAGGAAGAGGACGGCTGTGTTGTGCACAGCCTTGTAGTACATCTCCTCTCTGCAAGGGAAGAGCACAGGCATCAGCACCTCCCCCGGCCCCCAGCACTTGGCACCTGCTCCTCCTCTTCCTGCCCACTATCTTTAAGACAAGTATTTGCCCCTGTCCTTTCTCTCATTATTCTGAGGAAAAGTGGAGGCACAGCGCAGCCTGGGGCAGTTCTCACTCAGTATGGCAGAGGCTCCTGAGCTTTCAGAGGGAAGCACTCGTGCTGCAGAGCCCCACTGCTCTCTGCCAGCATGTGCTGGGACCTCGCTGTCCCTGCCAAAGGGACTCAGCACAGTGAGTCATCAGTCCTGACCAGGTAAGGAGAACTTCAGTTTTCATGCACTTGTTGCCTAAACAAGCTGTTGCTCAAACTTGTTGCCTCAGCAACAAAGCAGGGGCCAGTCTGCCCCACTGGGGACTGATCCCCCACTGCCCCTTGCCTCTGCTCTCCCCAGTGACACCCAGCTGCTGTGGCTCAGCCGGCTCACGGGTCCAAGGGCTGGCAGAGGAGCACAGATCAGTACCACAGGTGTGAGCTGCTCCGGCTGTACTCGTGCCCAAGGCACACATCTCTCACAAGCTCTGCTAGCAGTCATTAAGCAGACACGGAATTCACAATGCTGTCTGCTCATCCTGAACACCCAGGGTGATGATGCGCTGCGTTTGTCCTTGCCTGCTCCCTGCTTCCCACTGATCTCAGCCTGGGAGAGGATATTTCTGTCACACGGCTTCGGAGCCGCGTTCCCAGAAGGATCTGAGAACAAAGCCTACTTTTTGCAGACGTGCTGGGACCCGCTGCGATACTCGTGATCGAAGGCCGGCAGGATGAGCTGGTGCCGCTTGAACTTGCTCTGCTCCATGCGGGTCAGGGCCGGCGTGGGGGGGTCCCGCCACTCAGGGATGAAGACAATGAAGGAGAGCGGCTCGCTGGAGCTCTCCAGCAGTTTCTAGTGCAACAAGGAAAGGAACAATCTCAGCACCGGCTGAGCAATGACGTGTCTAATGAGCCCTGAGGAAAGGAAATGCTTCTGCTTCCCGAGTGGTGCTGCAGCCGTCACTGTCCTCTGCCCCTGCCCTCAGCCCTGCCAGGGGGAGCACAGGACGGATGGCACAGCTCCATCCCACACCACCCCACCAGTGAGCAGACGTACCTCAAAGTGAGAGACCATGGCATCCATCAGCTCCTCACAGAACGGCGGATTTGCCTCAAAAGAGCCACTTATAGGGAAGAAATCCAGGCACGGGCTGGAGAAAGAGGCAAAAGATCCCTCTCAGTTCGACCCGAGTCATCCGTGGGCACTCACTCACACAGACACAGAGCAAGGGAATGTGAGACTCACCCCCTGGATCCAAAATACCCGTCTGTGTCCAAGAAGGCCGAACAGTACTGCTTAAAATAGCAATTCAGGGGCGAGGCAAAGCATTCAAAACTCACTCCAAAGAGCTTGTGGAGGGCTTCAAAGATGTGCACGGGAAGTGCCCCTTGCAGACCAGTCCCTTCATACAGCCCCACACCGAACATCATCTGAGGAGAGCAAACCCCGGTGAGCTGTGCCTGCGCTCGCTGTTCCTGCTGCTCCCCTCACTGACCACGAACCCAGAGCCACACATCCATGCACCCCCTCCTCTAGGTACGCAGGGCCCCCTCGTCCTTCCTCAAATTCGTGGAGGTCCCTGCATGTACCCAAAAATGCTCTTCAGACATTTCCTCCAACTCTGGCCCCACAAAACCATCATTTTAAATTTGTACCCCCATGAGCCTACAGCTGCCCCTCAGAGTCAGGAGCTATTGAAGGCTACCTTCACAAAAATCTTTACCCTCATGTCAAGACTACAACCACTCCCCAGACCACACTCCTACCTCAGCATACTGCAAGCAGACAGCA